TTTTAATGATGTGGCTTCTTTTCTGCACACGTGAACACCACGTGTGCAATAAGAGCAACAAAAAATTATAATATTACCAAACAGTAACATAAATGACATTTCTTCATTTTTTTCTTTCTCCCCTCATCCTCGGCATCATCTTCATCATCCTCCATCTCAATGGGTTCTTGCACATAACCCAGTTCGGGTTCCTGTGCGGGAAAACCAGTTCTTGGTTTCGGGCGAGGAACCCAGTTTTTGGGTTCGGACCATTTTTTTTTTTCATTTTTTCATTTTGAATGTATTTATCTTAGTTTCCTATTTTATGCAAAGTAATTTGCAATAAGTTTTTCGTTGGAAAGGTGAGTTTTTTTGCTTGGAGATTGTTTATGAACAAGTTGCCAATTTGAGTTTTATTCGTTTTTTGTGGGAAAGGAGTAGAAGATGCTTATCATGTTTTTGTGCAGTATTCGCTTACTTATAATTGTGTGGGTGAAAATCTTAGCTTGGTAGGCATTTATGTGAAATTAGGTTCCACAAAGAACTCAGAACTTGGGTTTCGCGAGGAACCTAGGAGGATGAGGACGAGGAACCTAAGAGGATGAGGACGAGGATGGTGAAGATGATGCCAGGAAAGAAGAAAATGAAGAAATTAAAATTAATTATGATTTAATTATAACACATTATAAAAAAAAAAAAAGTCCAACATTGGATTAATAAATGTGACATAAAGTCCTGGGTTCCTGATTTCATGAGGAACCCAGGAGGATGAAGAGGAAGATGGTAAAGATGATGCGGGAAAGAAGAAAATGAAGAAATTAAAATTAATTATGGTTTAATTATGCCATATCATAAAAAAAAAAAAGTCCACATTGGATTAATAGGATGACATAACGTTCATGTTATTGTTTGATGCCACGTATTATAATTTTTAACGGTTATTAACGGTGTCGTGACTGTAGGTTAAAATATTGGATTTTTCACGGGTTTTGAAAAGTTGAGGGTGTGAATAGGGAGGAAAAATTTTGGAAGGTGTTGACCACGGAAAAGAATTAAATGTAGGGTGCAAATAGGGGCTTTGGCAAAAAAAAAAGAGATGAACCTAATTGAAGACTTGTTCCATTTGGTGTTCGATCTGTTTTACCCGTTTTGGGTTGACGGGTGGTGTTTTGTCGGTCGGGTTGACCTGACTCAATCCAATAGTTAAAAAAAAAAACTGAAAAGATTAAAAAATTAAAATATATATATATATAAATTTTATTAACTAATTAGGTGAGTTAGTTTAATTTATGATTAATGAAGTTAATTAATTTTAATTAAAATAAATTAATATCTCAATTAATGATTAGTAAATGTGATTAATTAATTTTAATTAATGCTAAATTAATCATTCAATTAAACTAATTATCTTGATTAATTAATTTCAATCCTCAATTTTCTTCAATTTTGGTCAAAGTCAAAGTTATTTTTATTTTGTCTCAATTTCACCAAAAAGTTTTATGATTAAGCAATTTAGTCCAAGGGTTTAACTCTTTTCTAAATCATTCCTCCATGTTTTGAATTTAATTAAATTAGTCCATTTAATTTTTATTTGTGTTTATTGTGCATGCATGTTCTTGGTTTTGTCCATTTTAGTCCAAAAATTAAAAAATGTTGCAATTTGATTTATCCTTCTTTAAGTTTAGCTACTAAGACTTAAATATAAATATATTGAATAAGTTGAATTAAAATCTTAATGTTAAAGTATGCAACCGTGTTTAAATGGAGGATTGTGAGGTGCACGTATACCCTTCTTCACTCTTAGCCAAACCCTTGAATTTCGATCTCCCTGTAGATCTGTTTTTAGATTACTTGTTCCACGTTATAATTTGGACGAGTGGCGACTCCCTTTTTATATTTTTCACACTTAATGTAAAATGATTTTAATTTTAAGTGTGGTCGTCACCAATATAAAAATAGTATTAAATATCTATAATTAAATCAAGTATTTAACTTAATTTAAAGAAAGAATTTGGCTAAATTTTTTTTTTAAAAATCCTTAGTTAAGTTAAAATAAAATGTCAAAGAGGGTAAAAGAATATAAATGATGAAAGTGTATAATTTTTAAAATTTAAAAAATTTAAAAACTAAACCATTATTTTTTTAATCTTTGAAAACTAGTCTCAAAATCTTTTATTCTCACTTTAATGAAGAGTTTAGATTCATTGGTGTAGAGGTTGAAATCTACAAACTTTTAAATTCAAAGATTAAAAATATTATAGTATAAAGTAAGAATCTAAAATTTTCAATTTTAGTTACACATGGAAATAAGTATGCATTTAGAATTATTGTGAGATGTTGTGATTGTGATTGTAATTGGAATTGTGACTGTGATCAAAAGTTATTTTGATATTTAAGTATTTATTTCTTAAAACAACTATGAAATTTAATTTGAAAATGAAGATCAAGATATAGAAAAAAAAAATCCTATAATTAAACATAACAGTGAAAAAAAGAAACCAATAGTTCTTAATGTAAATAAAGCAATAGAAAAAAATTATTTTTGACATTCACTTGGAAGAAAATTTGACAATAATGTTTTTGGTTGCCTGCAGTGAAAGGGACGGAGGACAATTTTTTCTCCTTGTCAAAAATTTTCTTGGAGATCTCTATACTTGCCATTGGTGGAGATAGAAATGGGGAGAGGGTTGCTACTCTTGTAAGTACTTGTTGCCATCCCTATTTGTGAAAATATAACGAGAAAGCTATAAAATGAGAGTGTGTTTGGGATTACGGTTGAATGCTTTTTTTTTTTTTATCGTACAGTACTTTTAAATATATATATATATGTTCAATAAATTTTTTTAAACTACCATTTTCAAAAGTTATAAAAGGTTATAGTAAATTTATAATAATTTTATATATATAATTAAAAGTTTTATTGTTTTGAAACTTTTTAATTGTGACTTTTATGAACAATACCTAAATTTAATATAATTATAAAATTATCCATTAAAGCCTAATCCCATTTTATTTAATTACACCACAATTTATAATATTTATTTAAATTTAACCTCTCATTTTTTTTGAAATTTTCATAAAAATTAAAAACTCATTTTCTTTTTATGAGTTGCTATTCTGCAAAATCCAAAAGAACACTTAATATAAGAAACTTAAATTATTAAGTAGTAATAAATATTGTCTATTTTAGTAATTATACATTATACAATATTTTTTACATTTTAATTAATAATTAATAAAATTTACCATATATTATTTATAATATTTTTAAAAAGTAAATAATCAACTATCAAAATACTTTTTAGTTAAAGTACAATTCAACACAATTACAATCATAGCACTCCACAGCACTCTACAGCAATATCAAATGCATCTTAAGAGTTTTGGTTATATATATAAAATTATTGTACATCTACTATGACTTTTTAAAATTCTTTTAAAAAATAATATAAAAACAAATTACCATATATATATATATTTAAAAATACTATCCAACTAATAAAAAAAAACCTACAATCGTGCAATCTTCAACGCAAGAAATTCTAGAACATCACGGGGATGTGGTATCCCCGTCCAATAAAATTATCACACGTCATTGCTCATAAAACACGTCATTTGAGTGAAACGGAGAATTCTATTTTAATGGAGCTTTAACTCTCTGTTAACGTTATCTAAGACTTTGATGATGACGATGAGGATTGCACTTTGAAATTAATTATTCATATTTTTCTTTTCGCTTTTCCCGCTCTCTCCAATTTTTTGCTTTTGTGTCTGCCATTTCCCATCCTTTGCTTTTATGTTTTAGCCTTTGAGGCAATATCATGTATTCTTCTATAGAAATCTACCAATTAAAATTGTTTTCTCCATCCAACAGCAACAATCAATTATATATTGGATTATTTGGTGCCTTTTGCTATTGAAGACATACACATTTGGTTTTCAGGTATTCCTTTATATTAGTAGCTCTTGAACAAAATTTTAGTAACTATTAGTGTAGAGTTAGTTAGTGCTAAGGTTTAGATGCTTCCATTAGTGTAATATTAGTATAATATATTAAAATTATAATCATTATTTTTTTTTTCACAGAATTAGATTGTATTATGACTTCAAGTGCTGAACAAGTTGTTGCACTTAGAAATCTCTACGAGTCTGATGATAAGATTGATGCTGGTATAAAAGTTTGTTCTGAAGACAAAGCATATTGTCTTTATAATAAATATGCTTTAAATAGGGGTTTTAGTATTAGAAAAGGGAATATGTGTCATGTTAATGGTGTTCTTTGACAGCAAGAATATATTTGCTCCAAAGAAGAGTTTTGAAGGAATGAAGATTCTTGTAATGTGAAAAAGATTAATAATTTAGATACAAGAACAGGATGCAAGGCTAGAATTCGATTCACTATAACAAATGGAATTTGGGAAGTTACTCACGTCAATGATATGCACAACCATGAGCTTGCAGGCCATGAAGAAAGACACAATTTAAGATCCAGGAGAAAGATAATAAAAGCACAAGCTTGTGTATTAAGTTCAATGGTAAGTGTAGGCATAAGACCATCAAAATCTTACCATTTCTTGGCAAAAGAATCTAGTGGGATACAATATGTTGGATTTACTCAAAAAGATTGCCACAATTACTTGCATTCTATGAAAAATGTGATGATAGAAGCTGGGGATGGTCAAAGTGTTGTGAATCACTTCAAGCTTAGGCAAGCTCAAGATCCCCTATTTTTCTATTCAGTGCAAGTGGATCAAGAAAATAGAATGGCAAGTTTCATTTGGAGGGATGATAGATCCAAGTTGGATTATGATTTATTTGGAGATGTGGTTATTTTTGATACCACAAATAGAACTAATTGATATAATCTAATGTGTGCTCCTTTTGTGGGAATTAATCATCATTGGAAGAATGTGCTATTTGGTTGTGCCTTTTTACTAGATGAGACGACGGAATCATTTGTTTGGTTATTTGAGACGTTCTTAGAAGTTGTGGGAGGAACACCACCTAAGAGTATTTTCACAGATCAAGATCAAGCTATGGCAAATGCTATTAAGAAAGTGTTTTCTGAATCACGTCATCGATTGTGTTTGTGACATCTTTGTAATAATGCTAAGAAACATCTTGTTGGAATTTATGGAAACCCTGATTTCAATGCAAAGTTTCATAAGAAGTGTCTTAGTGGTTGCCTAGATGAAGTAGAATTTTAGTACTCTTGGAATGAAATGATCACAACCTTTAATTTGCAGGACAATGATTGGCTTAACAGGTATATGAAATAGTTATTTCACTTTTTTTTTTTTAATTTTTTCGTTTGGAATTGCTTGTTATGCTTTTGTTTTATTTTGGCAGCATGTTAATGTTAACTTTGAAAGGAACATGAACAATTATTTTTTTAGTTTGTCATTTAGTTTTGGAATAAAGTTACTAAAATATGATCCTTAAAATAATTTATAATTTGGTATTTATTGATGGTCATAATGTATGGTACATTTGTTTGTAATACATATCATGAGATTTAGTATATTTAGGTATTTCTATGCTTCTAAACATTTCATTGTTTCTAGAAATAAATCCCTTTGTCATGCACTGATTTGCATACTCATTTCATTAACTTAGTAAATATTTTTCTTATATAAAGTTCTTTCCTCTCTATTTCTACATTTTGCTTGAATGTTGAACTTTTAATTTCATATTTTGATTATTTCTTTACAGGTTATACAAGAGTTGAGAAAAATGGTGTATTGCATTGAATGTAGATATCTTTTCAACTAAAATAAAATCCACACAAAGAAGTGAGAGCATGAATAGTGTTTTCCATCAAATTTTAAGCACATCATTGACTCTTATTCAAGTTCTTGAATATTATGAGCAAAAAACAGAAGATATGCGTCAAGGAGAGCAAGATGAGGATTTTCATTGCAAAAATGGTTCATTTACTGATTTGATTAATCATGGAGGGATTTTGGGGCATGCTACTACCATTCATACAGTGAGAGTGCTTCAAATGTTTAAAGAAGAGTTTTTTAAAGGTTTAGGGATGAATTGCATTGAGGTAGAAAAGGATGAAACAAGATTGTTATATGAACTTAACAAGCCAAGTTCAAGGAGAGTCTTGAAAGTGAAGTTTGATAAATTTGATTTTAGTATTTCTTACACGTGTAAGCTTTTTGAAACTCTGGGTTTATTATGTCGTCATGCTTTGAGAGTGCTTTTGGTGAATAATTTGAATTAGATACTGGTTCAATATATCACACATAGATTGACAAAGAATGCAACGAAGGGCATTACTTGTGAACCAATTGATTCACATTCTACAGATGAAAAATCTAGTCAGCTTTTACGCTTCAATGAGTTGAACCATCTTGGTCTCAATGTTTTTGATAAAGGTTCATGCACTGCTGAAATGACAAAAATTGTGAAAATGAAGTTAATGGAGGCTTTGGAGTTGATTGAAAATGACTGAGGAAGCACAACCAATGATGCTGGTATAGAATTACATGCACATGAGAACAAAGTGGCTGATCCTCCATGTGTGAAGAAAAAGGGATTGACTAATGCTAGAATCAAAAGTCAATTAAAAAAGAAAAAAAGGAAGAAAACAAAAAGTGCAATCCCTTCAAATATGGCTCAAAAAAAGAGAGGTGAAACAATGGAAAAACAAACTATTCCAGTACCTGAAGCATTTGGTAAGAATTGAAATATTCCTATATAATTTATTGGTATTTATACTAGTGCATGCTATAGAATTGACATATTTCAATGAAAAAAAAAAATTGAGATGCTATTGTTTCTTATTTAGAAAATCAGGTTGGGAACAAAGATTTTCAGCCAAAACATTATCAATTTGAAGTTCCAATATGTGTTGGCTCATATAATCAGGTACAAGATTTTAAATTTAAGACATGCATAATAGTTGACATTTTTTTTTTTGGATTTATTTACTGTATTGTTTTTCTCTCTTATACAAAGATTTCTCTCTTGTTCTACTGATGCGTTGATTGCCTTGAATTTCTTGTTATACATTGTAGACAATATGTACTTTCTTATGTGATTTGCTTTTAATGGGAAGGAAGAGTCATTCTTAGAGAAAATTTTAATTTTGGCAAATTTCTGATGATGTATACAATAATCTCATACTTGGAATATATTTAATGACATATATTATTAATTTACATGTATAGGGTTCCAACTTGTTTGTCCATCTATACAGTACATTTACAAAAATACTTTAAGATATTAATCCTATTTTGACTACTTCAAATCAGGTAAATTAATTAGAAAATAATTTTTCAATTTACAATGCTTATTTTATTAACAAGAATATGTACTTTTGTATTTTCATGCTCAAAGTAAGGAAAATGAAGTGCTAACAGAGAATTGTCATCGAAAATGCTGACAATATGATTATATGATAATATTTTGGTATTTTTGGCAAGAATACAACCTGTGTATTTTGAAAAATTCATTGGTGACTTTTGTATTCTGGTATAAGAAGTTTTATAGTTGTGATTCTCTAGGAAGAAGAGAAAGAAATGTAAATGTGACATTTTTTTAATGAAAATTGTTTGATTTATTCCCTTTAAAGAGTAATAATAATTAATGATACAATAAGAGAAATGATTAAGATAACACAATGATGAAATATTATTAATAATAGGGTATTTGTAGTACCCTTTGATACGAAGGAAAACAAGAAGGACTTATGTCAATCACAATATTACATGAGCTTTGAAGAACTCTTAATACAATAGATTAAGTATAACTACTTAACACTGTTTTGATATCCTAAAATTGTTACAGAAATGGTTGAATATGAAATGGTGAATCTCATTGCAGGCTTGAGGATGTTGCTAATTTACCTGCATAGTCATTTGTAAAAGAGAAATAAGTTATAAGAATCTTTTCAATAAAAACATGCATTTGTATATAAATCAGACTCACTACTCTTGTGAAACGATGGCTTCACATACCCAACTAGAGGATTTCAAGTTCAGAAAACCATAATGCTCACGGTAGTTCACTACATCTAAATAAACTTAACAAATTCACATCCCAAATTACAAGAAACAAGTCACAATTTCCCAAATAAAAGCATACTAGCAATCAACTCAACATGCTGAAGTTGCTTAAAGAATTTTTACCGCACAGAGGAAAGGATTTAAACACTAATCACAAATGAAAAATACAACATTATCAAAAATAAATTATTAAAAGATAATCACAGAAATGGAGATACAACACTTAATACTTTTTTCTAATCTAGGCCATTGATCTAGACTGAACCATGTAAAAAAATTTAACTTTGTCTTTCCCTGAAAGTAAGTTAGGTAATAATTAAAACTAAAATACATTGGCACATCATAGTTCAACCAAACTTAATTCAATTATAATATTAAAAAGAACGAAAAAAAAATAGCATAAAAAGCTAACCACTTCATGAAAAACAAATCTAAATAGAGAAGAATCCCTCAAATCCAAAAAAAAAAAAAAAAGAAGAAAAAAAATAACATAAAAATCTAATCACTTCATGAAAACTAAATCACAACAAAAACCTTTAAACAAGGGAGAATCACTTAAATCTTTAACCACCATGGCCAACTTAGCATGAATTAATTGTCTCACTGTCATTCAATTCTCCAAATGCCTTGACACCTGAGATGGAGCATGAAGGGGATTTGTAGAAGAAAAACAATAGTAGGAAAATGCCCCTTAGAAATTGCATGATGTAGAGGAGTCTCACTAGCTATCCAATCCTTCATATTGATGTCAACATTTCCCACCTCCAAAAGATACTTACAAACCCTTTTTCTTCCTCCAACAACTGCCAAATGCAAAAAGCCCTTTACTGTCAACATTCCTTGCCCCTCGAGATCTTAGGATGTAATCTTCCCTATCCATCTTGCTCACCATATCTGTCTCACCATCCAAAAATACACAAGTTAAGCACCGTATCGAGCCGCTATTAAGAAACCGAAAACAAGTAAAGAAACTACAAAGGATACTCTTAAATGGAGCAAGGTCACCGATGTAAGTAGATCAAAACAAGAAATCAAACATCCTCCTTAGTGCAGATGATTTCAATCCATAACAAGTCAAATGAGAAAAAAGAACTGATTATTAGATATGATTTGTTGCTGGGAAATCTGATGCCCAAACGACTAAGATGGAGAAAGAAGGGGATCTACAGAATGGGCTCTGTAAAAGGGGAAATCTGACCTAAATATATGGGAAATAGTAGTGTTGTTTTGCCCCTGAATAACGTTAGGGTTAAAGTTCCACTAAAATAGAATTCTTCATTTCACTCAAATGACGTGTGATAATTTTATTGGACGGAGTGCAATCCTCACCGTCATCGTCAAAGTCTTAGATAATGTTAACAGAGAGTTAAAGCTCTATTAAAATAGAATTCTTTGTTCCACTCAAATGACGTGTTTTATGAGTAATGACGTGTGATAATTTTATTGGATGGGGATACCACTGATGTACTCTAGAATTTCTCCACTGTGTGGCATCCACAATTCCACACGTTGTTAGCAAGTCTTGTACCACACGAAAGGCGCTTGACCTGGCAGAATCAGGAAAAAAGCCCACCCAAGAAATCACGTTTCCCCAGCCCATTCAATCACATAATGGACTCCGCCACTCCAAATAAAACGGGCCTCTAGGTCCATACTCATTTTCTTCCCCCTCAACCTCAAGGCGAAAACGATGATATTCCCGTCAACGTCGATTTCCACCGCTCTCAGACGCAACTGAAACAAAAACCTCATCCAACCCATGCAATTTTCCTTTCTTTTCTTCTTCTTCTTCTTCTTCTTCTTTTGATTCCTTTCACTTTTAATGGCTTCCTATACGCTCTCGTTTCTCCCAATTGCAATTTCCACCGCTCACCTGAAGCGCGCCGGTGACTCTTCAGTTTCTCTTCCTGTCACCTCCTTGCTTGGGAAAAAGCTCTTAATTCAAAGCTCCGACTTGAGGAGTTTCGTTTCCAAGCACCATTCCTCGCCGAGGGCGACCGTGGCTTTCAGTGTCGAAACTTCGTAGGTTTTTTGAGTTATTTCTTCAATTTTGCGTGTTATGGTTCTGGGTAAATCCAACATTCCGGCTTCTTGAGAATTTTTTGGGTTGATTTTGCAGGAAGCAAGAAAGGAATCCTTCCGAGAGATTACCAAAGTGAGTTACAAGTCTTCGTTGTATCTAAATAAATGCCTGTATGCATCAATTTTGGTGTTTGATTAGGGATTTGATTGTTTGAATTCAGTGGTGGTGGTGTTAGATGGTCGGCTAGAGCGATAAAGGCGTTTGCAATGGGGGAACTGGAAGCGAGGAAGATAAAGTACCCCAATACTGGTACTGAAGCAATCCTGATGGGGATATTAGTTGAAGGTCAGTAATTTTTTCACCATTTTAGCACACTCTTTGTAGTTGTAGACTTGTAGCTTTATTCTGCTGGAATATTAACATAATATAAATTTTGAAAATTTAAACTTGTTATAGCATGAAAAATTTCTTTTTAGATGTCATCTTAATGTGAAAATGGAAGCAAGTAGAGCAGCAGTAGGCTAGAGCCTGTTTGTGGGTTTAATTTTAAGGTACATTCAAGTAGCTACTGATTTTGGTTTGCCATGCGGAACTGAGTGAAAGTCAATTTGCTCATCACCGCCACCCGGTAAACGTAATTCTGCTGGTTGGAGTTATACTAGCAGATTGATGAACTACCTTTTCTCCCAAAGGGTTGATTTCCTTAATGTTTTAAGGATCTTTTAAAATGTTTTTCATTTGATAAAATGGAAATCGGAAAGCAACTAAAACAGTTTGTGCAATTGACAATTCATTATGGTATCAAACTTTTGGTGAAATAATTCTTAATTTCTTCATGGAGGATAGATTTATTTGTTGTGACCCATTTTTACTTGATCCAAATGCTAAATTATGTTCTTCCTGTTTCTATTAAAATTCTTCCATTTTATGTGTTTATTCTCTAGATATGGTCTTCTTCTTTTTCTTTTTTTCTTTTTTTCCCCCTTGAATCTCGCACCCTTTTATATGCTTGGTAATAGGGTTATCTACTTTATTCCTTGCATCCTTTAACTCCTAGGGTCCACTCTAGTGTCTTCTTTTTTGTGGTCTTTCCTCTATCTATTTGATGTTTCTTTAAACGGTATGTGTTGCAACTTGCAACTATTTGTTTTTGTGTATAGCAACAAGTGTCACTGCAAAGTTTTTGAGGGATAATGGGATCACACTTTTCAAGGTTCAAGATGAAATACTAAACTTGCTTGGAAAGGCAGACATGACTTTTACCAGTCCTGAGCATCCTCCATTGACTGAACAGGCTCAAAAGGCTCTTGATTGGGCTGTTGAGGAGAAACTAAAGTCAGGTAATAAATAATATCTAATGGCTCTTTATTTTTAGATTCATTATACACATTGGTTACTCCTTTTCATGATGCATTCTGTTTTTTCAATTCCTCAAAATATGAAGTTTTGGCTCAATAACATGACTTAGTTACTTAGGTCTAATGTTTTTATTATAATCTTCTGGATTGAAATGCATTTCTTCTAGAGAAATGTAGACATACATATGTGCATATATATCTGAGATCGCTATACCCCTCCCTGTATGTATGTCTGTGAATTTGAATTAACAGTGAGGCACAGCAGAAACAAAGTACTTCCAAAATGCTTTATTATAATAAAGAAGATATTTATTTCGATTGTGTGATTTTAAGTGTATTAGCGTAATAAGCAGAAGAGCTGCTAGTACACGGTCTGATTGATAACATGTGGTTATTTGGTGGATTTACACTATACCAGATGCCGAACCTACCTAACAACTTTCTTACAGCTTCCCTCATCCTTCCTTGTGGACTGACTGTTGCAACTTGTAAATGATTGTTACTTTGCTTGGTCTGTTTTTTTCTCTTAAACCATTATGTTTTTATCTTAGTTGGATAATTCTGTCAAGTGCAGTTGAAAGTGGGGAAATAACTACAACTTACTTGCTCCTTGGAGTTTGGGCGCAAAAAAATTCAGCAGGTCACAAGGTCTTGGCTACTTTAGGTTTTAATGATGAAAAAGCTAAAGAGCTTGAAAATTTTGTAAGTTCAAAGACTTTTCTTTATAACCATTGAGCAATAGCCTTGTTGACAATGTCAGTAATCTTGTTCTTTTTTAATGCAGAAAAATCAGGATTTTGTTCCAAGTTTTAAGTAGGATATAGAAGATTTTCAGAATTTGTCAACCTATGGACATCATGACTATATCTTCCAAGAGCAGATTCTTCTTGGGTGGATCCAATCACCTAATTGAGATGATGTTCGGCTTTAGATTTTGTTTCAACAATTGAGTGTTTCAATCAACCAGAAAAGTTCAGAGCTATTTATCCTGGTTTTGGACACAAAAACTACAATGCTGGTATAGTTTGTGACGATTAATTTTCCTACTGGTTGTGGAGT